GGAGGAACGTATCGCCTCCATCTTCAGGCGGCTTTTACCGGTTCTCACGGTCTCTTCGCTTTGCAGATTTCTAATATTTTTTCTTCTACCCTGAAGATGGAGGCGATACGTTCCTCCGAAACGTCGGTTAACACCACATATACACGGTGCCAAATCCCAGAAGACTGCTTTCTTCATAGTCACCGCCGTGAAAGCCTCAAATCTTACATAGACTACAAAATGTTCTCTTCAGCCAAAATAAAATGTCCACGTAGAATTATGATCACATATTAAGTAAAACTCGTACACTTTATTTCAATAGTAGGCAAATTTATCCACAAATTAAATGTAATATTAATTTAAAGTATTTAAAATATCCGGAATGCGGTCATACCACGATTCTCAACTTTCTGTTCCTCTAGGAATTTTGGTAATGTTTTACGTTTTAATTTTTCAGATCCGTTGATATTGACATTTTTAAGTTATCATACACTTTAACTGCAAACAATGAAGGACGAGGAAGAGGAAGTTAGAACTGCTTCTGGTGAAACATCCAAACATCAAGTTGGTTCGTTTCAGCAATCTTTCTCTGCCCGCACTATGGCCACTAGTTCAAGCAGCAGAAGTAGCCCTTCTGGGAAATCGTCTGCTCTCACGTCATCAGATTCAAGTGACCGAGCCACGATTCAAAAGCAACAACTTTCAGAAAGCCTACAGAGTTCTACCCTTCGACACTTCGTTTCATCTTCAAGCTCGAAATCAGCAATAAGCAAATCCCAAGGCAGGCTGACTCATATGCTGGCATGTGAGGCAGGATCTAAGGATACTTTAGATACTGGGCAGGATATCTTGGGAATCGCTACTGAAGAACGGAAGGAAATGTCTTCGTCAAAAGTGAAACAGACATCAAAGAGTTCCTTCATAGCTTCAGCTCAAGAGAAACAGAAGTTTGGAACCAGTTCTTCCCAATTATTGTCATCTTCATCTGGAGAGTGTCCGGAAGTTTCAGTTATATCTAGTGCACAGAGTATAGCAGCGACGACAATATCCCATACAAAGGATATGACAGCTCCAAGCCAGAACCCGGTGACGGCAAAGTGCTCTATGACGTACCTCTCAGCCTCACAGGAAGATTACGAAAACATTCGGCAAAGGAGACACTTGTCGAGATCTCCATCTCCGTTGTCTAGCAGCACTGCTTCAGATGTGTCTGGTAGTGGGTTGTCTCCTGCAAGAACACTATCCACTGCAAAATCTGTCGAAACATCAGCCATAGGAAGAGAAGGTCGCCAGTGGCTGACAGCCACTGGTAGTAGCGGTTACAGATCTGAAACTGCGAAGTCAATGGAAAGTTTACGGAGCAATAGTGCAACATCTTCATCTACTGGTAGCACTGTCCATCACACTCACAGACAGAGCTTCTTGACCTCGTCCGAAAGAGACATGAGAAGAGTTGTGGCAAGTTCGGTTGAGGCTAGGTCTTTAGAAAACTTGGAGAAAGAAATAAGGCTGATGGGGAAAAGGAAAGTAGTGTCAGGTGAAGAAGTAGTAACAGGTGTTGAAGAGTCCAGTATGACAGCAGCAGAGAGACGTCGGGGGTTGTATGCGGGCATTATAAACCCGGGTGAACGCAGGATAACCGTGCCGCAACACCTGTCCCTGCCACCGCCTACAGGGGCTTATCTGAGCCTCGCCACTCCAGGAGGAGATCGGAAGCTCACCATCCTCTCCCCCCACAGTCCGCATCCGCCGGACCTCCTCCAGTTCACCAGCTCCGTCACTACACTCAAGACCAAGAGGAAGAAGGCCATGGTGTTACCCCGGCTGATACTTCCTCGAAGTGAGAGCGACGTTTTTCTCGAGTAAGTAGAACTTCTAGCTTGTGGCAGTGTCCGTAATTGAGTGATGCTGCACATATTTCTTTTTCTTGAAAATTGTATTCTCTTCTTACGTTTTAAAAGTTGTTAGAACTCATTCTTCTATTGTGTTAGAAATGTAAAACTAGGAGACGTTCTTTTGTTCTGATGGCACTCTGATTTTATTAACTCTGGCCGCTGGAGCAAGCTCTCATCTGTGTTGAAGTTTTGTAATGATTTTCTTAACTCCCACTGATGGTTTATGTTGTGTTTGGTTTATATATCTTGTCTTGTGTTGGTTCTGGTACCCAGAGATATGGACTGGTTCTATTGATTGGGCCTAACTGAGTAGGTTTCTACCTGAGGACGGATACAGAGTTCAATCTCCGAAACATTTATATATAAAAAAGACAATGTAAATCGTTCAAAAAGTCAATAATTGTATAAAACATTGTTAAGACATGCAAGTCAAGTTTATTTTATATCGAATGTCATGATAAATTATAAATATATTTAAAATATATTATTGCCACAAATGAGATGATTCGAATAGAAAAGACCAAAAAATCGACGGTAATTTCGATCAGAACTTAAGTATTTAGCACGACTGGCCGTCACATAGCTAAGGTGAGTATTGGACGCGTCCTCACGTCAACGTTCCGGGTTCAGTCTCAGAATTAAGTATGGGATTTTTAATGTGCACTGTGGCAAATTTCCTCCGAGACCTTGTGTTCGCCTGCCAGTTTGAATTCCACTGTGTTCTCTTTCTCTCGTCTGTCTACCGCGGGTGATGCAACGGGGCATTTGCGGGCTGAGTACCAAGGGACTGAGTCTTACCCAAGTCTGAGAATAAAAAATAAATTAGGGCCTCTAGCTAGCTAAATGCGGCTTATATCTCCATGTTTCTATGTTTTATACTGACAACAAACTTTCTTGTGTCTGAATATTTATTAATTCCAGTGCAACTAGGGTTCAGTCGCAGTGGGTAGTACCCGTGGGTTAATACGTGACAATGGTTGGACCGTGTGTGATAGATTTGTATTGTGAAAGTTGCCGAACAGATATGATATTAAGTGCACGGCTTTCTAAACCGCAGCTCTTCGTTCTCTCGAGGAAAGTTGACGCTTCAGAGGAATACACCTCATCCATCTTCAGGGTCTAAGAGCAAAGAAAGAAAGAAGCCAGCAGATTCATTTAGCGCCCTGTATAATGACGATCGCAAGCGCATCAAATCAGTAGTATTATATATATATACTCGTGTATATATATAATATTTATTATTTATTATTTTTAAGCATCCTGTTACACTCTACACAATGTATGACACAAACTCCGTCCTAAGTGCAACAATTTGTTGTAGTTCTTTTGTCTTCTTTTCTTCTACACTACATGTTTCGGCCGTAAATGGCCATCATCAGGTGTATTTCTCTCACATAGCTGTTACACTGCACGTAGTTTAAAATTTAAAAATACCAGCTTCCTTAATTGTTCATTTATCCGTTGTTAATAGGTCCCGATATATCAGAATTCCCTTGCTGATATTTGTCACATATGTATAAAATCTTTGTTAATTTACGTACGTCGATTTGATTTTTGAATTTTGGTATTTTTAAAATCTTCAATTTAAATTTAAAAAATTTTTAATTTTAAAATTTAAAATTCAAAATTCACAGTAATACTCTAATACAGTAATAGTAATACTCTGTACACTTACTTTTCAACCCTGAATATGGAGGCGATATGTTCCTGTGAAACGTCGGTTGACTTTCCACAGCGCCCAGACCGAGTCTGAGGTCCACCCAATCGCAACTGGGGGCTCTTTCCCCGGGAGTAAATCGGCAAGAGCATAAAGCTGACCACTCACCTCCATCTAGTGCGGAGGTGAAGAAAGGTGGAGCTACAACTCCACTCCCCCATATGTCGCCATGGCATAGTACTCTAGTGACTAAACACAGGGACAGGTTTACATTTACCTTACAAGGCAATATGTTCCACTCTTCACTTGTGAAACAAATAACGAAGAGTAATACCTTCTGTGATGAGACTGTTCAGTCTTTTTGTGTATTCACATCCCAGCAGGTTGTACTCTTGTACTCACCACTGAGAGGACTCAGATCCAACAACAATAAACTATGTGCCCCCCTCATTCTTCCATCTCTCTGTCTAAATATTAACTGTGTCTGAGGTAGGCACACACATTCGGTTTCCTTCTTGAACTGTGTTAGTCATTTGTTGATATTAGCTTCTGGTAGGTAACAGCTGTTGTGTACGTTCATCTTTGAGACGTCTCAACCCACCTCGCCTATGTCTTGCATGGAGAAGGCACTTTCATATGTTTATTTTATTAAAAGGCAATCAATTCGTAATGTTTCCACGACGTCTCTGGCGAGGTTGCTTCGTCTTGTGATGAGACGCAGTCTGTGTAGTAACGGAGCCCGGAGATACAATTCCGCTAACAGCTTAAGCGAGTCCTCAACTGCTAAAATTTCTTCCCATCCTTAAAACCGATTTGTCCAATATCTTCCTTAATAAAATATTCTTTTTGAATTTTGAAATTGTCGCTTTCCGTCGGGTTTCTTCATAAATATTTTATATTGTCACGTGTATTGGTTTATACTACTGTACAAAGCTATATTGAAACCTATTTGGTCCTATGGTCTTCAACTCTGGAGACGTGCAAAGCCGTCGACAATCAATCCCATCCAGAGATTCCAATCAGAAACACTAAGGGCAGTTGCAGACGCGCCATGGTATGTGAGCAACCTTACACTCCACAACGACCTAAAGATATCCTTCGTCAAAAATGAAATACTAAGAAAGGCTGAAAGGTACAAAAACCAAACTGTAAAAAAGACAACGAATTAATAGAAGAGCTATACACCAACGGTTCAGTGACAAGAAGACTGAACAGAACATGGCCCCAAGACATCACCAATCAATGAAATAGACTCCAAGAAACATCACTGGATGTTTCCCTTGCAAGCTAACCACCTACAACACATTTACTTAATACTCTGTAATGATGTAGATTGTAAAGAAGCATAATAATAAAATAAAAAAGCATGTATTGGTGACTATTAATGGGGTTTGGATTGGTGAATGGATTTATTATCCACTTACGGATCGTAACTACAGGCTATATAAGGAGAAGCCAACAATAAACACACAGAGATATTGGGTTTTCGGACTTTATCCATCGTCCTGGTTTTTAAGATAACTGGATCCAGTGATCGAGGCTAGCTCTTTCTAAGGGACCCAACAGAATAGGTGTTTTCCCTCACCCGAGGACGGAAACAGATCCAGTTTCCGAAACGTCATGTTTTTCTTAGTTATCTTAAAAACCAGGACGATGGATAAAGTCGGAAAACCCAATATCTCTGTGTGTTATACACCATCATCAGAATCCTATAGTCAACAATAAACAGTTCAGTTGGAAGTCGGAACAGTTCCAGCGGAGTGTCCCGTCGGAAGAAGATGAAATATGTCGGATACAGAGTTGACAAGGATCAGAATCACAATGGAGGGAGAAGAAGTTTTTGGCTGCAGTTTTATTGTGAGTTATTGTAATTGTGATTACGAGTGACTGTACAAGGAGTGATCAATAAATTCTGTCACCCCATCCAAAACCCGTTTCATTAGTCACGCAGACCCCGGATACGTGACAATATCTTGCGGGGGAAGAGGATATGAGGGCAAGTATTTTGATCCGTCCACTTGTTTTCTGCCTACTAATGAAACCACGACTAACGTTATGCATCTCCAGCAGTAATATAACCAGAGTGGAGCCCGAACAACAGACCTGAAGGGAATATGAAAATTGGAAGGCCCAAACTGAGATGGAAGGTGTGATCAGGGATATCAGGGCCCTGGCAGCGCTGAACTGGAAGAATAGAGAAGACTCCCTGAAGCCTCTGAAGAAGACCAGAGTCCACACAGGACTGTCGGGCCAATGGTGATGATGAGTGACCCGGACAAGGTGGCCAAGTTGTAAGGCTGTGGATTCATATTCAGAAGCCCTCATTTCGAATCTCATTTGGGATACTAGCCTTTCCAACTGCGACATTTATTGGTTTCTCTCAGTCCCTCCAGGAAAATTCCGGGAAGATTGCTTAAATTAGGCCTCGAACGGTTCAAAATTCTTTTGAATTCAACGGTCATCTTTCATGGTGTAGATGCTGACAGCGTTGCAAATAACGCACATGCAGCTAGACAAATGCGTTGCCAAGCAATGGAATGAATGGAATTTCAAAGAAGTTTTGTGACATTTTACGCACCGATTTTCATAAAACTTTAAAAAAAAAGTTTTGCTAAAAATATTATTTATTAATGTTCAATTAAGATAATTCATACTAATAGCCTTCTCGCTTGACGCTAGCCACATTGAGCAACCCTGTTTCAGCATGGTTGCCGGATCGCTACTTAATTAAGGATCGATAACTATTATAACGATAGGTTGCAGTTAATCTGTACCAAATGGAACGAGCTAACCCAGGGATTTGAGGAGACCGCGGCTTGAACGCGCAAATCCATTGGTTTAATTACACTGATTACTTTCCTGAAGTGAATCATTTGGGTAAGGCACGCAGTACGTTCAGCTCTGATAGTTCAGCAGTAATTCCAGTCACACAGGTTCATTCATTCATTCATTCATTCATTCATTCATTCATTCATTCACACATTCCTTTATTCATCAATGACTCTATAGCCTTTGTTGGCCTTGACCTTTTTTTAATTCTGTAGTTAGGTACACAGCCGGTAGGACCCCTTAGGCGGGGGATCATGACGTTGCAAGGACAAAACAGACGCAGAGTAAACGCACATAAATATTCATGCCTCCAGTGGGTTTCGAGCTCACGATCCCAACCTTCTAGCGAGAGAAGACAGTCCATGCCTTAGGGCGGCCGCATACCAACTGCGTCAAGACGAGCATCAAGACATGAGACAAAAGACGCCGTTTTGCTTCATTCGTGATTCGTCAGCATGAAACTGACGTCAGAATCATGACT